ATGACCACTCTATCATCGCTGTACTCACGTATGGCTTCAATGTTCTATCCCTTTTATTCCTTGAATGGTTCTCTTTTTTTTAATGTTCTTCTTTTGGCATTTTCTCTTATACTAAACATCAAACCCTTCCTGTACTTATTTTGTGTCTGTTACTAACAACACCATTTGTATGAATTCAGGCAAGTCCCTCCCCTGCCTACTTCCCTTCCAATCAGGCCTTACTAACGTCAATGACTTAGGGATATTAAGACTGTACAAGTCTGTACACTCCCGATTGAGATCCAGAAAACCACAATATCATACATGTCGTCATGCGTTTATGGGAGGCATACTGTACACATTACATTTCATGAACTACACACAAGATTGGACCCTCAATGAATTTTATTTACGTTACGCACTGCTTGCTTTGCTCAGCCTTGATTCTTGACCAAGAATCCAAAAAGTGGCTCATGGGGACAACACTGCCACTGCATGACCCATGCACCTAGTATAACCTTGATCTGCCTCAGCTTGATTGCACTGCCTTGCTACGTGTTCGTAGGAGGGGGAGGATTACTCAGCCTTGTATCCTATTATCATTGTTGAGCATTAAGAATACATAGCCTCAACAAAGGTACGGCTTAAGGTACTCTTTTGGCTAAAAATGCCTTTTCGCCCAAATTAAGTATGAGAAATAGTTTTGGCTTAGGTTTTTTAAAATCTGGGCTCAATTGTATCATGTAGGAGACTGCATGTATTTCAGGTTTCCTATTTTATCAAGCTGCCAATCAAACTGCATCACCAGAGCCTCATTGACACCTTAGGAATAAAGCTCCAATCAGAACATCATAATGTTAGGTTATACCAGTGTTAAATTCTTGAAGCCCACACTCCTGTTTCAGATATTGCTAGGTATCTGGGTATCTAAGCTGTGCATTTATGCGTTGAAAAAATATTATATTTCAGAATGTAAAGTCTTAGGGCCGAAAACTAAGGCTTTTCTTTTCATAAAGAGGTTAGCGCGCTCTGTCTTTACCTGTCGAGTAGTTTCTGAGCCTAGGCTGACTTAGTCACTAATGTAGAGTCATATATAAGCACGGGGTATATACACGATAGAAAGAAAAGATGTGTGTTCCCACATCATCGATTTTATTATAACATTATTCCAAAGTTAAGCCAATGTAGACCCGGTCGCGCTTTTGAAGTAGGTTAGAAAGATTCAAGCTAGAAACCATGACTATACTAGTGACCATTATACTGTATTTTCCATTTCCCACCACGTCCGAAGAAAAGCTTGGGGGCTAATGCAAATAACAATGCTACAAAGACAAGCAATGAGCTCCCAACCTCTGGCTTGTAGCTCTCAGTTACCGCATCTGCCTTCCGCTACACTTCACGAAGCAGAGCGATCAGATCTCTATATGGCATAAATAGTGCGAGCAGAAGGGGCGGATATATTACCCCGTTAGACAAAGTAGATGCTTCATCGACGAGCCTCCCTCGGAGAGCGGATATATCCATGCCTATGCGGTTGCTCTGTCTACTCGTATTACCATGGCCTCTACTATAGAGGGGACTGGGTAATATCGAGGAGATAATAAGAAAGGTAACTTGCTCAGTGCTATGTAGGGCTGCCACACTCGACAACCTCACATTAATTTTGTACTGTGGCCCGAGACTGCCAAGCGCGTGGCACATGGAAATATGACAATTAAGTTATCTATGCTGAAATCTGTACAATATTTTTAACGGATACCTTACGGGGTCATGGATGTATCATGATGAAGGGGGTCTGGTGTAATTGGAAGCCCCTCATACGTACATCATGCTTAAGTTACCGCATGACTATGGGGCCATATCCCCCCTGATTTCCAACGATCTTGCTGAAGTCGATCCCACTAGAACTAATTTTGAATGGAGTGTATTAAATTGCTAATTGACCTTTGTTTTCTCACTCCCTTACCTAATTGATGGGATACTAACATGACAAAGGGTAGTTAAGTTAGTTCATCTGATAAGTTAACGTTAACCTACAGTTCCCACTTAGTTAGTAGCGCATAGTATATACAAAATGGGAAAGTCAAGTCATCTATAATATAGCGTAACGTACACTCACTGTTATAGAATCTAAACAACGTATACGGAATGTATAACCTGATTTATCCTACACTAAATGTTACACTATATACGGAGATGGCACATGCAAATTGTAACAGTTCGATAGCGTCCTGATATATGACAACCTAGCAGCAATCTAGTAGCAACCTAGTACAACGCAATTCCCGCTTAGTTAAAAGCGGATAGCACATACAAAATGTAATAATTAAATAACGTACACCCAATAAATACCCCGGATTTATCCCACACTAGATTACACTAACAAATACCCTTAACGGAAGTATATATCACTTCGTTAAAAGTATCGTTAAGGGACCCCCAAAAAGATCGTTAGCTGAGATAGCTCGTACTTTCCGCTTAGTTAAAAGCGGGTAGCACATACAAAAAGTCAGATGAAAATAAAGCACAAAGAAAAAGAAAGCTCCCTAGATATTGGTCCTAATACACCATACAAATGAAGAGGGAGATAAGAGACTCGAAAACCCATTGCAGAGCCAGTACGCCTGTTTCCCGTCTCTCCGCTTCAAAAAAAAAAACGAGAAGAAACAGCAGAGAAAATAAAATCATGAGATCACACCACCACCTCGACTACACCTCACGGGTAGCATGTCGGGGAATTAACGCCCTCAAGCAGACAGCCTAGTCCTGACGGCTGCGCTTGTTGCCATGGGGGTTCCAGGGGCCTTCGGAGGCACCTCCCTGGTTGCTGCTGCCGCCCTGGTTGTTGCTGTTGCCACTGTTCTGGTTGCTCTGGTTGGGGTTGAAATAGTTGTTCCCCTGGTTGAAGTTAGGGTTGGGGCCCTGGAAGCCCTGGCCTATCAGATGAAAAAGATTAGAATCTGAAAATCGTTCGAGGAAATTAGCCGTGACTTACCACCCTGCATCCCCATATTGTTTCCCATGTTTCCCATCATGGGGTTCATACCTCCCATGGGGTTCATGGGCATTCCACCCATGGGGCTCATTCCAGGCATCCCCATCATACCGGGGCCACCCATGTTTCCTCCGCGACCACCACGCATAGCACCAGGACCGCCGCGCATAGGGTTGCCCATCATACCACCGCGGTTGTTGTAGCCATAGTTTTGCATGCCCATGGGGCCAGTTGGGAAAGTGCCGGGGCCCATCATGTTGGGAGCGAAGTTATTCATGTGTCCGAAACCACCGCCACGGTTGCTGAAGTTGTTGTTCATGCCACCCACACCACGATTATTGTAATTGCCGCGGCCACGGTAGTTGCTGCTACCAATACTGGGGTGGAAGTTTCCACCGCCCCCGGCATTGAAGCCGCCTCCCCGACCGCGGTCGTTGCGCATGGGAGCATCCTTAGGCAGGGTGCGGAATGGGTTCGAGTGTGGGCTCGTGTATTGCACGGGAAGCTTGAGTGTAGCATCGCTGTCAATGCTGTGCTTTGTTGCAGTGGCTGCTTGCGGGGTAGTGAACTCGACAAAGGCTTGTCTGTAATCGAAAGAATTAGTCCGATTGTTCGAAATTGTGTAGTTTCATCTGATATCAGCTGGCCCTACCCTTTGCTCTTGCCGTTAACCTTATGTTCGCTGAAGGTCACATCCTTTAGCTCCTGCTCGGCACCAGCTCGGTTCACCCAGCCCCGGATATCATCGTCGGTGGTCCACCACGACATGTCCGAGATCAAAAGCGCAGTCGTAGCCGCAGGATCGGTTGAGCGACCGTCATAGTCCTTGCGCTTGGTTCCCTGAGGAGGCGCGGGAAGAGTGTGCTGGGACTGCTGAGGTCCTGCCTGATTGCCATTGTCCGAGGCAGGCTGGGGCTGAACAGGTGGGTGGTCAGCCTGGACGTCGTTCTGGGTCCGATTTTGCTGGAGGTTAGCCTGAGGAAGATTCTCCGGGGCATCGAGCACAAGATCGGAATCTTCATGCTTGAACTCAGCAGGCTCGTTGGAACCGCTACCATCTCCATAGATGTCAATGTCGAAGTTATCATCTTCGGTGGCCATGATGATCTAGATCAGCGATCACCAAAGCGAATTGAATCTTGAGAAAAGTGTTCGATTTGCCTGTTATCTGATGTTCGATAATACAGGCTGTTCTTCGAAAATCAAGGAAATGCACGTCTGCAGACACACGACACCAATTAGCAAGGAAAGAAGAAAAACATGAAGGATCATCGCGGTCAGAGTAGGGCCCCCAGGTGGCGAGGAATCCATATGAAAAAGCTCGGATTCAGCTCCGGTCTCGCAAAAAGAACAGATGGAAGGCAGTGGCCAGAAAGCCCTCGAGAAGACACAGGAAGCGACATGCGGAAAGAAGGCCAGTCAATACGTACATTCGAAGCGATTGGAGGCTTCTGAGACAAGAGAATGCGCGCAGCTGCGAAAGCCACGTACAAAGATGTGTTCCGTGCTGTCCGGAATACAGGATAAATGAAATGAAACGATAAAACGTGAAGCTGCCACAGGCAGGCGACGAATCACGGGATAAAAGCGAGCAGTGAGAAAAGCGCAGAGGGATGGAAAGGCACGAAGTGAAGGGCAATCGCGGTCAGTCGCGGTCAATCGCTTTCAATCGCTGCCAATCGCTGTCAATCGCTTGGGAAAGGTGTAGGGAAGATGGGAGAGGTGTAAAGAGTGATGAGGTGGGTGGTGGAAGAAAGGAAGTAGAGAAGGGTGGATAAGAATGACAGGGTGGGAAGTGAGAACGTTAGAAAATGTCAACGTTCCGCGGAATTCCGTCTGGATCTAGAAGACGCCGGCCTGTGTCGTCCTCAAAAGACGATCTGAGAGTTGCCAGGAGAGGTTGGAGGTTGGAGCTAACTGCGCGCCGGACATTACTTAATCCGCAATTGGTTCCGGGGAAACCACCTGTTCTCTCCTTCTGGCCACTTCTCCTTTCTCTCCCCTCAACTTTCAATCTTCATCCACGATGTCTGAGACTTTCCAAGAACTTGCTGATATCCCCAAGGACTTTGTCCGGGAGGGTTCCCAATTTGTCCGCCGCTGCACCAAGCGTATGTCGATCCTTCGTCCACCGCAAGATACTTGCTGACACTCTTGACAGCCGATAAGCGTGAATTCATCAAGATCAGCCAGGCAGTTGGCATGGGCTTCCTCGTTATGGTATGAGCCATCGTGGCTATTCCTGGATCGCGTTTCGTCGCAATATGACTGACATTGGCCGTTAGGGAGCCATTGGGTACTTCGTCAAGCTGAGTTCGTGCTCCATTGTTGGATTAAAGCTCGCGCTTGCGGCTTTCAAATATTTGCGTATTAACATAATCATCATAGTTCACATTCCTGTCAACCAAGTGCTGGTCGGCGGCGCATAAGCGAGCAACCCTTTCCGGTCCGACTCGAGGACCGAAGAGGCCGAGGGCCTATATCCCAGGAGGGTGTGTCAATCGACAGGACTTGGGGCTGCTCGCGTCTCACTGGTGATTCCCTCGGAGCGGACGATTGTTGGCGCAATGTGTGGGCGGAGTGTGTCGGCGGGGTGGGCGATTGTTGTTGGCGGAACAGAGCTTTGAATGCGACTACGAGGGTAAGTTTGCTTCCCAAAATTATAGGCTATTTACTGACCGATTGCGGCAGTACGCTCGAGATGCGGCTGGTATTGGACAGCCGCCACGACGATGATGTTCTCAATGGCCACTGCGAGGAGGCGACGATGATAAGATCGGGTTCCTACAAACGGGCTTATCTACATTACAGCCGCAATACGGAGAATATCAATCGCACGAAATGACAAACTTGAAGCATATCGCGAAATTACAACAAACACCCCACAGCTTTCCACGCCGATGACATGTTCTTAGTCCCGTCTCAGTCCCGTCTCAGTCCGATTTACTTCCCTCTTGTGATATTCTTGAATTTACGTGGCATCCTTGCCACTTGGCGCTTTTTATTTGGAGATGCGATCGGAGGACAGTGTGATCGCTATCCATGAGATACCACCGTTTACGCTTTTGTACCGATAGGGGTCCTTGTTTTGATACTTAATTAACACCCTTCAAATTATCCCGCTTCTCATACATTGGATCTATGTTGTCTCCGGGCGTTATTTTTTATATATGCGATACCCGAAACAAAATGCACGTCTAGCAGCATAATCAGACGCTTTTCACTGGTACCGAAATCTCTAGTATCCGATATATGGGTCCTGGTCAGCTTAAGACAACTCAATTGCCAGAAATTGTCAACTGAAAACGACATGTATTGCATTCATCAAAATCATTATTCCTGAGACCGAATGCTGGGACAAAATGGACAATGTAAATATACGGAGCATTGCAACAACAGAATAGACTAAGCAGTACCAAAAGCACGGTCGAGTTGCTTTTACTGTACTGACAGAACGATCAAGGACAGCCATCCCTTTCCATGTCACCATATATCTTCCTCACCTTCCTCGTGAAGTTCCCAACGGCGGACAGGCCGGCTGCGCAACGGACGCCGGGAATGCCTCGACGCAGTGTTTTCTCGGTAATCATTAAACTCGGGGATATATCGCAACCTATCATCATAGCTTTTGCCCACTGGAGGATCACCTTCGTCGTCAGCAGCACCGTCATTCCAGGAATGGACGGTACACGTGCCAGTCGACAAGCCCCAGCCGTTCCAAGAAGTTGCTGTTGCACAATCAAGGTTAGCGATGGGTATTATCAATCGAGTCTTCCAGTTAATTTTTACCTGCTAGAACTGGCGCGTCGGGATGCCAGCTCGCATCTCGAACGCAAGTCCGCCAGAGCATCTCCCCGCTCATTTCATACGCTGTGGCATACGCATCTGGCTCACGTGGTCGTGAGTTGAGAGTCGCTTGGCCGACATTAATCGTTCCGGCAAGTGTAGCATCCATATTGTACACATAAACCTTGCCATCCTCGCTACCGCTGTACACATAGCGCGAATTTGTGCTACCAGGTGGGGAGAAATGACAGCGGATCAAAGTCTTGAGCACGCGGTGGCCCTGGAACGTCACGACCGAACAGTCGTTTTTGGCGTTTGTGCGGTAAGCGTTTGGGTATGGCTCGAACCGGTAGTCGAATCCGGTAGTGTACTCGGCCGGGTCGATGTTCTCGATATCAGCGGATGTCATCATCTTCCGCAGATCCCATAGCTTCATTGTTTGGTCTTTGCTGTTGGACAAGACATATCGACCATCGCCTTTGCTGTCAACATAAGTCAATCCTTCTGTGTGGCCCATGAAGGCACCGGCTTCGCGGCCATCGCCCATTGATCGTCGATCCCAAACTCGGAGGGTGGTGTCATCAGATCCCGAATACAGAATATGGGGTGATGAGGTATCACCGTAGCAAACAGCGTTGACATGATGTTGATGTCGGTCTCGCAGGTTCAAAACAGGCTGTTTCGTTTCCAAATCATAAACGATGACCGAGTCTTCTGACGTACCGGCGACAACCTCACGTCCATCTCCAGAGAATCGAAGAGACCATATCTATCCAGATATTGTCAGATTGAAGTCCAAGGGAATGCATCAGCGCAAGACGTACCCCAAAGTGTGAAGTACCAAAGCCCCGTCGCCTCCCTTGGCCCGGTAATGTTGAGAAGTCCAGAACACTGGGATCTGAGTTATCCTCGGGGTCTGTTGTGGCCATATATGCTTGGCTTCGTATAGAACTGTAGACAAGGAATCGGTTGTCGGGGCTCAACGTCGCATCGGTAATTGTCCATTGGCCAAATGGATAGTCGACTGTTTTGTAGTATTTCCAATCATATGGATTCGACGTATCGTACATTCGAACCTTGAAGTCTTGTGCGCAGCAGAAAAAGAAATTACCGTCGTCCGAGAACTGTCCTGAATAACTTCGCGTGTCATAGTGAATGATTCTGTCTGCAGCCGAGCCTGGAATCAAGCCCTAGATTATTGGACAAAAGTTGTTAGCGTTATTCGCAGCTACCTCTGCGCTTGGTTTGTACTTGACCTACCTGGGATATAGATTGGTCAGCTCTTTTTTGGACCCCATGATTATCAACACCCATTTCCCGGTATATCAAACTTGTTGCCAACACCCTCTTGCGCTTCTTAAGCCGATCCACATAGTATTGGTTAGTTCCGAAATCACCTTGGCCCATCAACTTCACACCCTCTGGATTGGGAACTGGGGGGAGTTTCGCCGGTTGTCCGAGCCGTCTTGCCCTAAGGCGGTTTCGGAATATGGGCACATAATCCTCATCACTATCCTCCTCTTCTTCCATTTCCATCTCCAGTTGCTCTTGATGCTCTAATGGGACAGGCCAGCCATTAGAACTGAGAATGTCTTGTAAACCGCTGGACGCAAGTAACTCGAATAGTCGTGAAGCTGGGACTGCAAAGAATCAGCAAGTCTTCCAGTGTGTTTATATGGCTTTCTGGCATAAAATACTTCGCGTATGTCCTCCATTCGGGTCCCCCGGTCCCCCGCCCTCCGCATCGTCTGCTGTAAGCTCGATCTGTATGTTTCCGATGTTGATGTGAGGGGGGTCTACCAAATTGCAAATATTAGCCATTCGGTGTCCTTAACCCCCAGTGTTATCAATATTACCATCTGCATCTCCAAGGTTCAGTTCTTCGTCCTCATTTGGCATGTCGTCTTCCCATTCGTCATCCTCGGATGGTTCTAGTGCGGGGTGGAAGTCGGTGTCCAGCTCGTCTTCTTCGAGCCATTCATGAGCAGGATGCCAAATACCTTCTGACTCGCTCGGAGAATCTCTCTCGCGTGAGCTCATTGTGGATGTGGAGGATGGAGAGACATTGGGGCCTTATCGATAATGGAGGTTCCGAGGTCACCGCCGCTTGGGCGTTATGTCATCGGTTTATCGGTTTGCCGGTTTTATCTCCGTGTAACTCCGAAGAGGTACATACATTCAATGCTTATTACATGTCTATATATCCGTTCAATTAGGAACTTCTACATATACGAGTAAGAAAGAGCTAGATATTAGGCGATAAATAGAAGCTCAGTACTAGCCTATAATATCATCGAAAGAGACAAAGGGGAAAGAAACGAAGAGAGAAAGGGAGACGTCGAGCACCAACTGAAGCCTACATTATCTGACATCTACTAGAAGGTACACTGCATGAATAACAACGGGTAAGCTCCCAAAATAGATGCAAGTCTTCGTCTGATCGTCGTCCTGTGTTCATTGTTATTGAGCAAGAAGCGCTGCTGAATATCGGTGTCATTTATTGCGGTTCTTTCAGCATTAAGTAGGCTAAAGATGACCACAAATTCTCTCAGAAGCCCAATCTAGACAAAATAGAATTCTTAGATTGAGTCGGCTCATCGCCATGAGATTGACCTTTTGTGAGCCCGGCACTGTGATTATATTGTGTACGTGGCTGAGAAGCTGCGTATCAAATACAGTGAAGCCTCCTGGATATTTGGATAGCTAGTCAGAGTACTACTAGTGAGCATCATCCCATTACTTCTAGTACTCAAAAATAGGCAAACATACAGCGAAAAGAAGAAGAAAAAAACCATCAAACAGTATACTCGATTCAAGGCTCGTGGATTTTGTATAAAGTCTGTCCAATACTTCGTGAGGGGCACTGTATACACATCTATGGCCCTGTCGTATCACTTGTACCAACCTAGACTAAATCTCATGTTTCGTACTACAGTTTGAGAAGGCTTTCAAATTGTCTTCTGGGTCGACATTCAGAACAACTCGCACCGAAGACGTTTGTTAGGCAAAAGGACCTAAATTTCTGGAAGTGGGTTCAATCAGGCTTTGTAAATAGCTGTGTTTCCAGTCTTGCATGTGCATAACATGCATGCACTGGGGCTTTGCCGGGCTGGTGATGGTAGTAAACTCCATGTCGGTGAGAGTCTGGAAGGCGGTGCTAGTACCTCTGGTATGTCCGATGATAGTTCTGTTCCCCAACTAGGAATCTTTCGAATTCTTCTGTATACAAATGTTGCGACACTGACCTAGGGACCATTTCACAATTGCTGTTAGTCTCAACAGAGGCCTTGTTTTCGGGTTGTCTTAACAGAAAGATAAATTTTGACTAATTGTTTGCCTTTGTGAAAACCAAATTTCCTTGAGGCTGGTCTATACAGTCAGAAAACCAGAAGGGGAAGTATAGGGCTGTAGAAAACGGCCATCAAAAAGATAGAAGATAAGGTCAACGGATCAATCATTTACCGAACCCCACTGATATGCGTCTCCAAGTTCCCTTGAACTGCTTTCTCCTCTTTGGTGCTGAGTTCAAGAGAATCACATTGAGCTCTGCAATCCCATAATTTACATCCAGCAACATCCGACTATCTGGCCCCGATTTAAATAGCTACCGGCCCGCGTTTTCCCAACTTCCCCTCCGCAACCCAACCCCACCACGATGCAGTCCGTCCCTGAGTCCCGACAGCAGTCCTTCGAGGAGATCTACGGGCCTCCCGAGAATTTCCTAGAGATCGAAGTGAGTCGCTCCATAAATAACCGCTATCCCACATCCCCGAATCACTCGTCCACCCCGATCTCCTGGCGGTCATGTGCCCACATCTCTTCGCTAACCATCCCCCATACAACTCCTTTTGCACGAACAACACACACACCCTGATCAAAAGACTGACCAAATAAATAGGTCCGCAATCCCCAAACCCATGGCACCTCCCGCAATATGTACACGTCGTACGAGATCGTGTGCAGAACCAACATCCCCGCTTTCAAACTGAAGCATTCCGTGGTGCGCCGCCGGTACTCCGACTTCGAGTACTTCCGCGATATCCTCGAGCGCGAAAGTACACGAGTCACGATACCCCCACTGCCCGGAAAGGTCTTCACCAACCGTTTCAGCGACGATGTGATCGAGCACCGCCGCGAGGGTCTCCAGCGCTTTTTGCAGATTGTTGCTGGGCACCCTCTTCTGCAGACGGGCAGTAAGGTTCTGGCTAGCTTTATCCAGGGTGAGTGTTAAACTGTCTGCTTGAGCCGTTAGTGGCGCTAGAACCATGCTAATTTGATATTATAGACCCCAACTGGGACCGCAATGCGTGGTAGATTACGATAGCGTTGATATTCTTTTTCCTGGTTAATGAGAAGCGTGCTTTCTTTCCTCCCTGTTCTTGTTTCCTTTATCTACCTCTTCCTATTACTCTCGCCCCTGTCGTTCGACGACAGACTTCCTTCGCCACTTGCAATTGAAAATGTGCACGGGCAGTTGTATGCTATGTGATGGTCATTCCCTGGTTTTGTTATGCTCATTCGATATCCGAATTTGCCGCTTCTTCTTCGTTGCACTGGTTGGACGGGCGCTTTTCCTGGTTTCTGCTATGCCTCGCTTCGCAACTTTCCTATTTATCGTCTCCTTCTGCCAGCTTTCTTGTTCGATCTTGTGCATATTGAGAGCGAGTCAGTCTCCTTATGAATATCACCACGTATATCCTCTTGATTGCGAACTCTTAGACTCGTCAATGGAGGGCTATTAAATGCGTCGGGAAAGCAAAACAAGGCATTTGATTGATAGAAGTTGTAGAAAGCCATGGTGTACTGCGGGATATAAGTTAAGGATAAAACAAGGCCAGGAACAAAAAGAAAAGCAGGATAGGCAAGAAAGAAGAGATCCTTCACCAAACTCCCAGAATACAAAGCAAATATAGAAAGAAAAAAACACAAAAATGCGCTCGATATCAACGCATCAAAGCATGTTTTCTTCAAGTCAATTCATCCCAATTCATAGGAGCAAGCGTATTATCCTCCCACGGCGTCTCAACACCCGAAGAAGTACCCGCCCCAGAACCCTCATCCAAAGAGAACGAAAGCCCACCGCCCCCAGCAGGCGGAAGACTCATGGAAGGCTCCAAAAATCCCTGAGGAGGCGGAGGCAAGAAAGCAGGATCCATAGGACCAAGATTAGACTGAGAAGGGGTAGCAGCATGACGACTCCTGGACGACAAATGCCGCGGAGCGAGATTCGGCGTTACCGCATTAGCCTTCGTTGGAGTTTGTTCGCGAGTATTGACAGCATGTGGCCGGGGCGTTGACCCTCCAGCCGGCGAGTTCTGACCCGAACCCGGACCCAGACTCGGGCTTTGATTTGTGAGTTTCTTGCCGCTCACGGAACCGCCATCGCGATAAGCGTCTGGGAATTTTGTTCTGAATCTGTCGCGGAGGTCGGTTGCTTTGCGGTGGCTTAGGTTTAGTCGTGCATCTTGCTGGATTAGTGTCCACTGGAATCCGTGGACTGCGTAGCCTTTCAGTAGGGCTTCGTCTTCAGCCGGGGTGAAGTGGCGCCGACAGCGTCGTTTGGATTTTGTTACGTGCGGTTCTGGGATGCCGAGGGATGCGAGGGATGCGAGGGTTGAACGGGATTTGTTTGAGAGCGCCGGGGTGCTCTGCTCTGGTGAGGGTGGTTTTGATTGAGCGTTGCTGCTGTTTCCAGCCTCTGTATCGGGTGTGGGTGAGAGGGTGCTTGGGGTCGAGGGCTTGTGTGGTTTGCATGCTGGGTTTCCGGCGCTGGAGGTTGGTTCAGACCCTTGGGTTAGAGGATTTGGATGAGGGAGGTAGATTTTGCCAAGAGTTGCATCTGAAGCCTCGTTGGATTTAAGTAAGGCATTGTTGAGGGTGTCGTATATTTGTTTTGCAGCTTCATTAGGGTCGGATGCACTGAACCAGAGTCAGCAATTTGATTTCATTGGCCTTGCGTGGTTGACTTTGAATCACTCACCGGTATGCCCATGGACATAACACTCGGAATCTTTAGGATGGTGAATGATTAGCATAAGAACAGATGTTCATAGACCACATGCATACCTGTCTTTCAGATTGGAAGCAGACCTCTGATTAAACTCCAGTTCCGGCTGAGCCAAGATAGCAGTCCAGTTGCCAATCCCACATTTGACTACACCCCGAAGAAGAGCAGCCGTTTCTTCCTCGGTCCACATCCTCAGGTTCTTGCGAGACCGACCACGTGTTTTAGGGGAAATGGGTGCTGTCTCTTTCGGTGCAGGAGGTAAGGCCTTGCTCTTAGGAAGGGTTGCATAACGGATTGCTGAATCAATTTCGTTCGTATCCAAAGTATTAGTAGTTTCAGTGTTGTTGTCATTATCATTATGATCATTGTCTTCGTCACCGTTGAGTGAGGTGCTTAGGATCTCCTCCAGTCTCGCATCCCGTCTCTCCACGGGTTGTCCATCTGCTGTGACACCCTGAGCAGAGACCAACGCTCCTGGGTCAATGGCAGTATCACGTCCTGAGGGCTTGTTCAAAATCTGAGAGATATTAGACCCAGCCTCGATAGGTGGAAGAAGAGCAGCATTAGGCGGTGGCTCATTCAATCCATTCAAGATAGCAAATGGCCCAAATGGAGGAGGCCGTTGCTCTTTTTGGGCCTGCGGGATGGGCAGCTGTAGATGCTCGCTGAAGGAATCAGCCTGGAGATCTAAACGCCTACGCTTGCGGGGCCCTTGAAGCGCATCATCGTCGAAAGAAGATGAAAATGGAAATTTCTCAAGAGCACGTAGGTTCACAAATGCTGGGAGGATCGGTCTCGGCAATCGCTCGACATTTGACTGTGAATCGGCGGAAAGTTCGGTCTTCTTGGTCCGCGCAGCATTGAGGAATTCCGTCACCGTTGGTAGACCTGTTTTGGCGTTTGCAGGAACAGTCCCATTGCTCTTGTTCCCTTTGGATATATTATTCTCTCGTGCTCCACTGGCATTTGGTTCGAGAGGTGATGGGACGCTTAGGGTTCGCGAGGAAACCGGTTCTCGTAGAGGGGCGATACGGAGAGAGAGTTGGGGGAGTTCGCGGAGAAGTGATTCATCGAGAGGCCGTAGTGCACTAGATAACTCCATTGCAGCATGCCAATCACGAGTACATCATCCTCATACTGTAAGGAATTGCAAGTAGTGCAAGTTCTGGCCTGTTCGATGTCCCGATAAGATGCGATAACGGGGGGGCGGTGTCGAGTGTCAGTAAAGACGCATACGTCAGCGCCAATCGAGCTGAAGATCCCCTGACGATTACTGCTTCAATTGACTTTCTCTTGATTGTTTCTATCTTCTTTACATCCCACCGCCCCTTGGAATTAACTATTTGGCATCAGTGGCGGTAACCCGAAATGTAAGTGCATCCATCCAAGTACCCAGGTACATTGCAGCAACCACGAGCTTCACTCGCAGACCGCTCCAAGCAAATTACAACCAGGACCAAGAGAAGACCTCAGAACCACAAACAAAACACTAACAAAGCCGCAGATCCCCGACAATGCCCACTATCTTCCCAACGTGGCCACACATCCTCTTCGGCATCCTTGAGCCCATCTCACTGTACGTGGAACCAACATGCACCATCCCACCCAATCACCGACAACTAACGCATCTCATGATCCATACAGGGCTCTCGGCAGCGTCTTCCCACTATACGACCTCCAAGGCTTCATAGCCGGCCAAACACCCAACGTCGCCTCCCCACCAACCCTCCACCCCAGCAGTGTCGCCCTCGCCTACCAACTAGGCAATGTCTACTCGCTGCTCTTCCTCGTCGGCGTGGGTGTCTGCTACACCACCACAGAGCCTCGCGTGCTGCGCAATTACCTGATCGCTCTTGCCATCGCTGATGTAGGTCATGTCTACGCCACGTTCTTGGGTATGGGCTGGGACGCGTTTGCGGATGTCGCGGCGTGGAATGCTCTGACGTGGGGTAATATCGGAGCTACGGGTTTCCTTTTTGTTAATAGGATCGCTTATCTCTTAGGTGTGTTTGGGTATGCACAGGCGCCTAAGGCGGCTGCAAAAAGAGAGTAGGGTGTGTGCTGTTGTGTTGGTTGGCTGATTTAGTGGTGTTTCTTTCTCTTTTCTTTGCATTTCTTTGATTTTCTTTTGGTAAAATAATCCCTCTCCTGGTTTTTTCCTCCTGGTGCATCGAGCTGCATATAACAGCGGTCTACCTTTGCGTCCTGCTATGGTCAGGTGTGGCTCGGATGCAATGGGTGCAATTTGATTTGTAATGTTTCTTTTCACACAGCAGGGTAGTAAAAGGGGGCCCGCGTGAGCTTCGTAACGTTTACAGCCATGAAGCACTCTAGGCCGGGTCAGCTCGACAGCAAAGCCCTGGGCGCTACGATCAAGATGGCAGGTCAGATTGCGGGTTTCGTGAGATCCAATGAGCTTTGTTATGCAACCTTGTATATATCCCTGACATTGACTGTTAACCGAAAAGAAAAACAGAAAAAGAAAAAATCACACAAAAGGGAAAAAGCATATTGGCATAATGCAACGCCGGACTTCCTGGTACTGCTGGACGCTAGCTAGCATGGGTATATAAAAAGTAAAAATACAGATCATAAATCGGAGCATACCAAGTGTAGCTCGGGGCACCCGCCCTGGCCAAAGATTGTCCAAGGAAACATACGTCAATGCATTGAAAAAGGTCAGGGAGACAAACGAAAGGTCTTGAAACGCGTTCCAGCCCACCCTTTGGCCTTTGGTCCGGTCTCGCCACCTGCAGCCACACAAGCCAAGCACACACACCCCTGTTGCTTTCTTTAAAGGCGAAGCATAACTAAATTGTTTTGACCTGGTGACTCCCCTTTTTAATTGTAATCACCGGCTTCGTTGCAGGTACTGGAAGACCGACTGGAGGACGGATTCGCCGTTCTGTTTGTAATCACGGAGATGGGGAACCAGGAACGGGATACCAGGTTGTTCGTTGTAGTGCTTGCGGTACGAGGCGTAGTTTTGCACTGGGTTCAGGAGGAGGCCGATTTCCGGGGGTGTCAGGGCTTCCAGGGTGATGGTGGGTCCGTCGGCTTGCATTGTCGAGATGGTGTAGTTGTAGAGACCATTGACGATAGCTGTGAGAGAATGATAATCACGGGCTGTAAGGAGGTTCTATTGCTACACGATTAGAAGAGGGCTTTGACCATTTAAGGTGTACGGTGAGTGGGCAAAAGCACTTACCTGGGTACATTCTTGGATGTGTGGAATTAGATCTGGAAGTGCTGAGCAGCATTCCCAGACGGAGACACTGAGCATTTGCCAATGCCAAAGCAGATTTCCTATCACGGCATCCTCTGCTACGAGGTTTTGGCGGGTAACTTCGGCGAACTGGTGCTCATTCAGGGCTTTTAAGCTGCGGGCCAGATCCGACCCGGATGTCGATATGAGACAGTCCTCTAGAAAGGGAACTGAGGTGTCGAAAGGAGTTTTCCAGTCCATAGTTGAAGCATGCATGTATTGTCGTCGGAATCGGATTGCTAGCACGCTCAACATTTTCAGCATGGCGGCTAGTCTACCGGTTTCGTCTTTGAACAGGCGCTGGATCGGGCCTGCGATGAAGTCAAACCCAGCGTTAGGCTGTGCCATATTACAGTTTCCAGGTCGCACAGCCAGTAGAGACTGGACCAACGCTCGGTGCGCGAATGGACTACGCGATCGAAGGTGCTGGAATAGTCAGCGTATGATCCGTATGGTACTAAAGTCCAATTAAGAGATCAGACACACACCTTCTCTACCTCGGTGTATAAAGGGATGTCCTCTGGGTAGGCCTTTAGATGTTCCAAGAGAATAATGTAGAGAGCCGTATGCTGTTGTAGAAACCACTCGACGTTGATGGCACGGTACCCAAGAGAAGCGCGTACCAGCTCTTCAAAACCAATCTGCCTGAATTGAAAATGACTCTCGGTCTCAATGGCCGCAGCGATTGCCCGGGCATCGAGAGACTGGTTCGATTCCAGCGGAAGCCAATTCCAGGGAATCGGGTCGAAAGGAGCAATACTCGACCGGCGCAATATTTCCTCCACTCTCTGCATGTGAGAGAGACTTCCCAGAAGCTGATGTTCATGGGGTTGGGACATGGCAAATAAAAAGTTGTAAATAGTATCCACTCGGCGAGCGCGAAGTGAGGTTCGCGGGAAGTTCTCGTCACGAAAGAGTCCAAATCGGATTACCCTGCTGATTTCTAGGATATCAAATGCCCAAAACACCGGAGTCGCTTCATCTTCCCACCAGCGGTAGGACATGAAGAAGGCGGGAATCTCCAAGCTCAAGTGGAAGATGGGCTGGTAAGACGGACCCAGTTCTGAAGCCATCACGGACATGTCCAAGGAGAAAGTTTGAGTTGAACAGTCTCTGGACTCTTGTAGTCAAGGCCAACTCATTAGGCTGTCGCTCATGTGACACGGTGAAAGCAGAGAAGGAAACACGAAATGTGCGGAAAGGTGAGGGTGATTGGTTTAAAACATTAGGTTTCCCACGTTAGATTTGGGAATAGCCCAGTTCCAGCCTACTGGGACCTCCCGATGGTCGGGAAGAAGGCGAAAGGGGCAAATGATCGGAAGGCGACCTTCTAGGCTTCTATTGTGGTCTGCCGAATCACACCCGTTGGACTGCAGACGGTTCAGTTGCTAATAGGACAAGGGAGAGGCTGATCGTTCAATCGGTTGGGGAGCGGTCTACGTTTAAAGTAAATTACGATGATATCGGTGGCCGATCTCGAAGTTTCGCTTTGAAAGTCGATACACCGCTGAAGTTTGTCTCTTTGAAGGCAAACTTTATAGCCGGTGGCGATGATATACTACCAAGTTAAGCTGCCTTTCTTCAGCCCTCACACCGCTACCTTCCTCAAAACCATATCTGATTCCAAATTACCTCCGGCAGATCGCAACTACATACATGTAATCCAAACGTGGCCAAACCCAAACTTGCACAGAACCCAGGGCCGAGGAACTGGGTTGCGGATAGCTCCGTTAGATCCACGCGTTCCTGAGCTTGTGGGGAGAACCAAGGTTGAGTTTGACAACTACTTCACTCATACTTCTTCTACACGTAAATAACCTCATGTTCTAGGCCCAGAACAATCCCATTATCGCACACGTCTCAGCCCTCCGTTATGGCTCTCGGATCGCCCCCTAAGCGCAGCTGATCGGAGGATTCGTCGTGCATTCCAATGCACTATAACGTTACCCCAGCGATCATTGCCAGATAATCCGTTTTTCCTTCTTTTTTTTGGCAGCATTGGGCGGAAATAGTGTCCCATGAACCTTTTACCATTGTCAGTTCCAGCCAAAATATATGCAGGGAGAGAGAGGACACCCCCTTATCCTATCATTAAAGTGGTCCCCCACCCCTTACTACTAACCGCTAACCACCCCCTACTGCAGTACCCTCCCTGCAAAGGCTGTCCGCTTATCCTCATGTTGCATCCGGTGATCAGAATTCCAGATTGCGTCCCGTTCCAGCAGCATGGTGCTTGGGTCCGGGAGAACTTTTCCTGGTGGAGCCACTGCCAACGTGGGAATTGGGGAGGGACTGAGTTTGGAGCTATCAGATTAGCGCTTATACTCCGTATTGCCTAACCCTTGATAGGGCGGGCCATCGGAGAAAAAAATCAGAAATGGGAGCCGTTCCTAGGGGGGTTATCCAATCCTCTTTTCTATCTCTGCTCCTCTCTCTCTCTCTCCCTCTCCTCATGATTTTGATGCTCTTTCCCATGGTTATGATAGCGAAGACTACCAGCTGAGTGGTATCAGACTAATTAGAGCGGCCCAATTCCCAGCGATGACCCGATGGCCATCTAAATGAGCCCGTTGTCGGAGCTCATACGCCGATCACCGCGATCGAAGCAACGCACTCTGCGACCCCGGAACTAGAGGGGTGAAGAGAAGTGCGGACATCTCCACAGAATACATATTGACGCCGGAGATGGACCTTGTACTCCGTCTTGCTTTCGGTTTCTTGCGTTTATCCACGGCTGTCTGGCGTGCTCCTCCACCCAATCTAGATCCTGTCCCTTGGCTATCTCCAGATCGTACGCCATCGATGTTCTGTGTAAGTTATAATATATTAAAATAAATGAATGAGCACGGAGAACGCCGAGTGGCGATCTGCCCCTTTGCTGCACTCCACATTGGGATGTTTTCTTTCTACTGGTGCATTGCATCAGCTAGTTTCATTTTCTGTAGTCCACAGCAGCTGTATATTCATGCAATGAAACGGCATGATCATTGCCACTTGGATAGGTCACCGTTTTACATGTACTGTAATCGAACACTAACTTATAACAGCCAAGCAGAATAGGCTTGGGGGATTGGGTGGGGGGTGTGTTGCATGTACAGTACATACAAAAGAGCGCTGATCACGAGCTATATGTCATACTGTACTGAATTCTGAAGAAGATCGTCCCCTTCGAAAGCATAAACTCAATATTTATTTTTCTGGGTCGAGCCTGGCTATCATTGGCGGTCAAACTGGTGAATCAGGGGACGGGATTTGGATCGTACACTTTGATCGCCATATATGGGGCTTGGGGCTTGCGCGGGGCTTGCGAACACCGTTCACCGCACCGCGTATCGCCTTGTATCATGAATAACTTTTTTTGCCCCTATGTGTCCTTTTTGCATAAGGGCCCACTTTGTTGTTGTGCTGTCTTTAGCTTTAGGTTGCTACCGCTTCGGATATGCCGAGGTTAGAGTTGGTGGGTATGGGGCGGCCGGTTTTCGATGTCGGCAGATATATATAGTTGGGGGGAAGGTGCAGGATATGAATATAGTGAGAGTAGCTGGACTTTCAGCTGCAGAGATTGCATCTTAGATCTCGATTCTTTTATTGGATTGGGTTGCGTTTCGGGCTTGCATTAGTTTCCGATTTTGTATGTACTGTAGCGGGTAGGCTTGTCTGTGGCTATAGACGGACACTGGGACTACGAGGTGAAGGTCAGCAACGAAGCTACAGCTACGATTCCTTAGATCTTCATGGGGGAAATGGCTCAAGCAATGCTCAGCAGAACCAATTGAAATCATAAACGAGACAGGCATGTTGAAGATCCAAGAAAATCAAGAGAATACGGTCATTAAATCATTCGAAAAGAGGTAACGTTAAATGGTATCATATCACTCGGAAACGGGAGAGTATTCCCATCCCAGTTTTGTTTGCTATGGTTCGAACCTACGGAATGATGCATCCAAGCCCATAACAAGACAAGACGCCTGCTTCCCAGCTACTGTTTTTTACTTGTTTTTGTCCGGCTCGCTAAATCCCCAATGTCAGAAGACATTTAGTTGGAGATAGCGTGGGCACGGCGGCGGTCACGCTCCTCAGCAATGGAGAGCTGCGAAAAGAGTTAGCAAGATTCATATGAGCATTGACTTGTGGAGATAACATACCTTGACACCCTTGCCCTTGGGCAGGGAAACCCAAGGCTTGTCCTGTCCGATGACGAAGACGTTGGACTCGCGGGTAGCGAAGGTGTTGTCAATAGCGTCCTTGACGTGGACGATGTTGAAACCACCGTCGTGGCGCTCACGGTGAGTGACGACACCAACACGACCCATGTTACGACCACCGGTGGCCATGATGACGGCACCAGTGTCGAACTTGACGTAGTCAAGGATCTTGCCAGTGGCAGTCTCGACCTTGACAGTGTCGTTGACCTTGATGGCGGGGTCGGGGTAGCGGATGCTGTGGAGAGAAACACGCGTTAGCAAAACCTTGTTCTTATCACATGGGATCTTACTAGTTCTCATGTTGTCCTCCGCCGATCAACCAAAGCCTGGTCCAACGACTGAATGACACGGAACTTGTGGAGAGTGAACTCACGTTCGCGCATCGTGCGTAACCAAGAATGGGATCCCGCCCTTGCCGAGCTGAACACGCTTGACCTTGCACAGCTTGAACTCGGCCTCCTCAGCCTGGATGCGGTGGACGGTGAAACGGCCCTTGGTGTCGTAGACGAGACGGAAGTGCTCGCCGGTCTTCTCGAGGGAGATGACGTCCATGAATCCAGCGGGGAAGGTGGAGTCGGTGCGGACCTTGCCGTCGACCTTGACCAGACGCTGCATCATGATGGCCTTGACCTCGCGACCGTTCAGGGCGTACTTGAGACTATTGCGAAAACCATGTCAGTTGTTGTTCTTCGCGTGTCGGAGTTGTTTCGAATTCGTACCGGTTACGGATGAAGACAATCAGGGGAAGGCAGTCCCGGAGCTTGTGGGGACCGGGGGAGGCCTTGGGCGCATAGGTTCCGGACATCTTGTCCAGGAGCCAGTGCGAGGGCGCACTAAGGCGCTTCTGGTGCTTCTTACTGTAAAGGCATTGCAGTTAGTGATGTTGTTCCAGATCGAAAATTTTCAATCTCGGTTGCAGCAGCACAATGGCTGAAATCGCGTCCGGGAGGTCGACGAAGCCAGAGTGCAGGTACAAAAGAGAGAGGGCGATGGCATTAGACTTACGGTCCGCGAGCCATTTTGACTGATTTGTCGACGGTAGGTAAGTGGTCGAAGTGTCGCGATGAAAAGGTCAGGCCGAGAAATGCTGGCTGATAATACGGGCTTCGCTTAGCGGTCAGTGATTGTGGGCTGAGCCCTAGCCCCAACTAGTCCCGATTGGGCTATATTAATAATTGATTATGTCATCAACACTTGAAAGAGATTATGTCATCTGGTTGGCCCCTTCCTATTTGGGATGCGATCAATCGAACTTTTGTTTGTACCAAAGTTGTATCTATTTGACATGCGCTGATAATTCCACTTTTCGTATCATCTTTAAATGTAGCCCTTGATAACAGCAACCTCGGCGTTGAGGATAGATGAACCAGCAGCTCCGATAACGGTGTTGTGAGAGAGAGCCGCAAAACGGATATCAAAGTGGCCACCCTTGGCGCCCTCACGGACGCGGCCAACGCTGACGGTATAGCCACCGGAGATGTCACGGTCAAGTCTGGGCTGGGGGCGGTCAGGCTCATCAAAGACCTTGATAGCGGGCTGCGGTGCGGATGGAGCACCCAACTTCTGGGCCTCGGACTGGTATTCCCGCAGAGCCTCAACAACCTGCTCTGCGCTGGGGGTCTCACGGTTCTTGAAACGGAGGGAAACGAAGGCCATGTGGCCGTCAGTGACACCAACGCGGGTGCAAGTGGCACCGATGCGGAGACCAGACTGCTCGTCGAAACCGGTAGCACTGGCGTTCAATGAACCCAGGATCTTCTGGGCCTCGTTCTCCAGCTTGTCCTCCTCGCCACTGATGTAAGGGATGACGTTGTCCAGGATGTCCATGGTAGGAACACCGGGGTAGCCGGCCCCTGAGACGGCCTGCTCGGTGAAGACCTCGACTTCCTCAACGGGGCCGAACTTGGCCTGGAGAGCTGCGAAGGGGATGACAATGCCAATGACGGCACAGTTAGAGTTGCAGACTAGGAAGCCCTTCTTGAGGCCGTACTGCTTGCGCTGGTGAGGAATCAGGTCCAGATGCTGGGGGTTGACAGTGGGGACAACCAGAGGGACCATAGGGTCCTTGCGGTAGTTCTTTGCATTAGAGAACACAGGGATCTCCGCCTTGATAAAGGCCATCTCTGTATTTGATACATCAGCACATGATCCAGTACTACGGGATACGATACCACATACCGGTCTCGCCAGCGATGTCACTGTTCAGTCCAGAGAAGACAAGATCACAGTCCGAGAACAGCTCGGCCTTGCACTCACGCAAAACAAGGTTGCTCAGCTCCTCGGACATGGGACGAGTCTGCTTCCAGTTCACAGCATCCTTGTACTTCTTGTTTGCAGAACGCTCGGAAGCACCGATTGCGTGAAGCTCAAGGAAGGGGTGGTCTGCCAGCAGGAGGATGAAGCGCTGACCCACCGAGCCGGTGGCACCGAGGACACCTATGTATTGTCAGGATGATTCATATATATCTGATATTGGATGTTGAGGACATACCGCACTTCTTCTTGGGGAATGAAGGAGCCATCTTAGAAGTTTTGTATGCAGACAGATCAACCTTGTATTTGTTAGCAACCCCGGTAATTCGAAAGATACAAGGCTATCGATTGATAGACTGAGAAACACAACAACACCGGCTGCATGTTGTACTGGGCCATATATCACAGACGCCTGTATGAGTCAAAGCGCCTCCAGAGCCCCGCATGCGGTCTGTAGGAGGCTCTGCAAGCTCCAATTCCTCGCAGATCTCATCGTCAACGAGCCCAAGACACCACAGCAGCCTGGTAGCAATTGGAACATGGGATTGTACTCACCACTTTGCTGTTGATAGAGTTGAATGCTAGTGGCAATTGACCGTGATTGCGATATCGCTCTCGGCCAATTGCGCAGCCCCGCTCTTAGTCAGCCTCCTCCGGTCGAACGAGAATTTACTGCCATCTGATTGGCTGGAGTTGCTTGGTGTTCAGGTCAAAGTTTAACGTCCCAAGGTTTGGTGTGTTTGCACCGATGACGTTGTTGCTATACATCTATGCTCAGATCTAATGCGAGTCTATGTATTTTGCGTGGTATCAAATCGCTTTCAATGACCCGGACCAGGGACATCATCAGAGTGGTCAAAAATCTTACCAGGGTTCAAGAGCCAGTTTGGATCTAATGACCGCTTGACACTGCGCATAACATTGATCGTCTCCAGCCCGAGTTCCTTCTTTAATGATCCCTTCTTGCCCAGTCCAACACCGTGTTCACCCTGTACTAAATTAGCGACTTTCAAAAAGTGAAGGGCATTAGTGTAATTGCATACCGTGCAAGAGCCCTCCATGTCCAGCCCACGGTCCACCATATCGTATACTACCTTCTCGACTCGCTCCCTCTCAGCAGGATCATTTCGGTTGTACATAATGCTCGAGTGGAAGTTGCCGTCACCAATATGACCAAGAATACTAGCGAAAAGACCGAGATCGACAAGTTCCTTTTTGGAGATTTCTGCAATTGTCAGCACATGGATCCAGATAGCCTGAAAGAAGCCATACCGATAATATCAGGCAGTCTAGAAATGGGCACCGCCACATCTGTCGACCACACCTCCGATCCCTCTTTCCGCAGAGCCATCATACTCCACAGAGACTGCTTCCGTGCTGACCACAAATCATGAGCCTCGCGGTCATCGCGGGCAAATTCAAATGACTCAGCATTGTTGTTCTGCGCAAGCTTCGTCGTCAGGTTAATACTATCCTGCACGCCTGCAATAGTTCCAGAGAACTTGAAGAAAAGCGTTGGCGAGACCTTCCATGATCGACCGGTTCCACCAGCACGGTTGATAACATCCATCTGAACATCATCCATGATCTCCATACACTGGACGGACACACCCTTCCGGATCAGTTGCATAGCAGTCGAAGCAGCATCCCGAATAGTCGGGAACGCAACCACACCAACACGAGTCTGTTCAGGAATCGGAGCGAGCTTCAAAGTAGCTTCAGTCACAATCCCCAGGGTACCCTCGGACCCAACAAATAATCCAGTAAGGTTATACCCAGCAGAGGTTTTGCGGGGACGTTTCCGCGTCTTGATAATCCGCCCATCGGCCAACACAACGGTGAGATTGATCACCCAGTCCTTCATAGTACCATACCGCACAGCATTGGTACCACTGCAATTCGTACCAACCATACCACCAATCATAGCAGAAGGACCCGGGTCAACGGGAAAGAACAAGCCCGTCTCCTTGATCTGCTCATTCAGATCCATCCACTGGATCGACGGCTGCACCACAACGTCCATGTCGTCCGGGTGGATATCCAGAACTTTATTCATGAACGCGAAGTCGATGGTCAGTCCACCAAGCGGCGCGGAGAAATTGGCTTCTAGACTCGATCCGCCTGAGTAGGGGATCATGGGCATACGGTACTTGTTGCAGATCTTGGCGATCTCGGACACTTCTTCGGTAGTCTTGGGGTAGGCAATCGCGACGGGTAACCGCTCTGCATTAAGACTGGACCATTCTGAGTATCCGTGTAGTTGGAGTTCGTCTTCTTCGGTACTGACCGCGTCGTCGCCTAGTTTGGTTCTTAGTTCGCTGATGGCCTGGTTGTGTGATTTTTGTCAGTTTCACTTTCATTCACAGTGTATAATTGAGGGACTGACCTTTGCGAAATCCTTAGTCGAGCCATACTGCGGCTTCTTAGATGCCTGTGCTAGTTCCTGGCCGTATGAAGCATATCCGTATCCCAACCCCGCAGCAAATGCGGAGACGAGGAGAGCCTTCGTCGGCGTCCAGAATGGCGATGAGGGAGCACCCGTTGAAGACTCTGAGCTCGAGGAGCTACTTTGCTCTTTGGTCTTCTCTGCGCCTGCATTGGAACTATTCAATCGAGCACCACGAGCTAGAATACTCTGGTGAGGCGAGATCCAGGGCCGACAAGGGGCTCGGGCGGGCAGCACCCGCAAGGCCCTGAGCACTGGTCGCATGTCGAAGGGACAGTACTCTATATAGAGACAGATTAGAGTAGAGTTGGAGGTTTAACAGCACACTCTATCGCATGGCAGGTGTAAGGGGGTGAAATGACCGGAACAATCTATCCTGTCGACATTGCGGACCTGCATGATGTGACCGGCTTTTGTACTCGGGCTAATATCTCGGGATTCCGGCCGTCGGACTTCGGCCGAGAAGCTATAGCCTCAGTCATTTTCCATAATTCCGCTCTTTTCTTAGGGCAAAAGTGCGGAGAAAGAGCGTGGGGGTGGCGGTTTAGATGTACCGCGGCTTAAGCCGCTATACAACCACAGTAACACTACCCTTTCATACTCTACATTTATATAAATGGTTTTGATACTGAACAAAAACTCTGAATTACACGAAGGAGCAATAACTTATTCTTTTAAGAAGGACTTGTATATTAGGTGAAAAGGCAAAACTAGCAATGTCATTGGTTCAGAGCATCAATTCCGTTGATGGGGCAACAGGCCCGCAAAGAACCTCTCAACCTACAACACCGCGACATCAGAACATCAAAGCCGGATGAGAGCTGTGTACCTAGCTCAGAGCTAGAAAGGACTGATCTCTCTTTCTATGCAACTTTGACACCATGGTAGAGCAGCTCACTCTCGTGGTGCGCGAGGTGGAACGCCTCGTCACCGCGCCGTACGTCCCGTCACTACAGGTAAGTTGATATCAACATTTGATGTCGGGCGTCATGATAACATATAACCACAGGACCTTTATGGCATCTTTCAGCAATGTTCGTCGTCAACAATCGAATCCTGGGCGTTCTGCAAACCTTGCCAGGTTAGCGCGCTGGGCGATGTTCTAGTTGAAGCTTTATCGCGATCGCGCCTCGCTTTGCCTCTAATTACTGCATTTTGTATGGTTCGATCGAAATGATAATTTAATTTGAGGCTAACCCGTCATAGCATCTGCATCGTCATTTCGCGATGCGCTGCTCGACCACCACCAAACGATCCTAGATGCGTTTCTCCAAAAGGCCCTGGGAACCAATGAGCATGAGGTGAGCTCTCTGTGAACCAGGAACTTGGTGGAAGAGTCTTGACTAATAATTTCAGTACATCCCCGCATGCATTGCACTGCTATCTTCACCCCTGCCAGCAGATGTAGTGCCACCAGCACGCATTGCCCCCTTCATCACGAAGCTCGTGGGCATGATGTCAGACAGTCCCTGCATTGAGACAATCTCACCTCTCTACAAAATCATGAAAGGGCTACAACGTTCACCAAAAGTCCTCGACGACATCCCGTCTGAGGTCATGTCCAATCTCCAAGTGGAGTTCACCAAGACTCTACGCAATTTCGATGACCACATGGGAAATCTCTTGTGCCTTGCCACTTTCGCTCAGATTGCGTTAGCACGACCACCACCCTCGCAAAATCAACACGGATCAGAAGCTCCATCTTGGCTTCTCAACATCAACCATTTCTTCGGCCCGAAGCGTGGTCTGAAAACTCTGGACTTGGTTGTACTGCGCGTCATTCTGGCTTGCTCGTCTAGCTGCACTTTAGCACCATCGCAAGCTGCTGAAAGTATCAAGCTGGCTATCTACATCGCTGATGCAACTCAGCCTGATCAGAAACATGCTTGGATGGCTAGTAATTCTTCCAAACTAGCCAAGCTGTGTGAGAAGGCTGGGAGAGATGGGCTTGATAATGAAATACGGACAATGGTATGCCACGACCAGCTTGGGATGCAAAACACTACTAATTACGCGTTATAGGTTATCATCTTTCTGCTTACTCTCGTTCCGGCAAGGTCACTGCCACCACAAGTGCGAGACTCTGGCTTGAAGACTCTTTTGTCCAAAGACAGCCAGGCAGTTCTAGAGAGTGTGCCCCCGCAATTTATCTCACGCCTCTCAAAATCGTTAGCTGTAAGTACAAGAGTTCTAATACTTAGGCAAATTCTGACACAGCACCAACAGGTCTCCGGAGGATCGGCTGCTCCTGACCTTTTGAATTTCACATGCTCCACTCTAAAGGACAGTCACAATCATAATGAGGAAACAGTCAGCATGCTGCGCCTGGCAAGCCTGGTGCTGGTTGGCGTACAGGAAGTTGATCCCGAGCTGATCCTTCCCAACATTTCCAGCTCATTGGCCGCCTTCAAACAGGGTCTTGTGGAGATGCTTGAGAGCTTCCCCAGGAGACCAAGCAAAGATAACTGCAGTGAGTCAAGTGTGTGCCTGTCCCAGCAATGCACAATGCAGAATAAGCTGTTTTTATCCTTGTTCAAGCTTTACAACTCTGTCTCTTCGGCACAAAATGGAGGGGATACTCTCATGCAACCCATTATTGGATATGTGGAGAAATCTTTGCCGAATGGAAGCTGTGTGTTTTCACAAGCGGGCAAAAAAGAGTACCCTGAATCCCTTCCCCTGCGCGACAGAGAACGGTTCTCACCTCCTCGTGTTTCTCGCAATTGGCGCCAGGATATGGTATCAGCATTCATGGAGACTTCTCGAAGCACTCAGGTGACTATGATGCAAAAGATCGAAGATGCATGCTTCGAGCTGGAGCGTCGCTGCTTCGACGTAGAAGGACCTGTCCGAGCTGCCGAAGAACAAAGAGATCAATTTGCCGAGGAAATTCGTCAGCTGAAAGAACATATTGACCAACAGGAGCTCCGACTGAGCGAATTCTCAGAATCTTTTGCCGGCCTTCATGACGAGAATGCTCGCCTCGAGGAGCAAATGAAAAATGAATCCGCACGAGCTGAGCAGCTTTCGAAGTCTCTTGCTTCTGTAAAGGAGGAGCTTCAAGGACAGCAATGGCACTCTAAGAAAGCAATTTGTATCGAAAGGGAGCAGTCTCGATCCAAGGAGTTGGAAATGATGGCTGCTCTGACTGAGAAAGAGGATCAAATTGAAGATCTCCAGGAGGAAATGCGACGCTTGCAAACTGAGAATGAACGAACACGCCAGACTCTCGATCAAGTCACTAAGGAAAAAGATGCTTCCCTGGATACGTCTGGGTATTTGAAAGAGGAGCTCGCTGGTATGAGGGATGCTTTGGAACAAAGTAGGCTTCTGGCTGTCCGGAAGGAGGATGAATTCAAGCGCCTTTTGGCTGAGGAAGATGATCTCCGAATGGAAGTGGGGACTCTGAAAACCACAGTATGTTTTTTGATTTTCTATGGAAGTTGGCGTGTACTAATTAATCGCAGGTGGACGAACAAAACACCGAAGTTAAAAGACTTATTTCTGTACTGCAAGAATCTGAGGAAAAGATGAGCAGTGAGATTGAAAAGCTCAATCATGATCATGAAGCGGAGGCTTCGAGGGCCACGTCCGAGGTATGTCTATACCCGTCTGTATTAGATGAGTGAACAAGGAATACTAAAGCAGCCATTTTTCAGATGGCCAAGCAGGAAGAAGAAATCCGGCAGTTGCAAGCTGCTATGCATGCTGCCACTTTGGATGCTTCTAAGAACGCCCGGGCCAAGGACAAACGAATCCTGCATTTGGAGAAAAAGGTAATTAGTTTCCCAACTGTGAAAATCTTCATGTACTAAACCATATGATTCTAGATACAAGCTTTGCGTGATGAGCGTGCCGCCAAGGCTCGCGAGTTCTCCGAAGCACAACAGCATATCGGACGACTCATGGGAGTGATGGGCTTTTCGTCCAATGCACCTGGATCCACCAGTCCCAAACACCGGCGGACTAGGTCCAGCATCAACCCGGCCCAGGCTGCAAGTACCCAGCAGCCAGTCAGTGATGACGAAGATGCACAGCTAGCACACTCGTTTGAGTCTTTGGCATCCTTCAGTGGACCCACACCCAAACGACCAAGAGGAAACCGTCCACCTCAGGCACTGAGTACTCCCTCTGCAGTGCCTCGGGCAAAGGTTCAATCTCCTACCAAAAGACTGCCCCAATCTACCCGGCAGCCATTAGCAACTGCCAATAATATTAGCCCGACTAAACCCCAGGCGAGCAACCTATCCAAACACAGCGTAGTTGATGCTTCGTTCCAGGAAAGTCAGGCACAGGAGAATGTTGAAGGGCACAGGTTGCAGGATTTTGACTTGGATATGGACCTTGAGTTCTCGAAGGATTTGCTCTTCTCAAGTACTGCATTTACGGGATCTAATGACCAAGTCGTGCCATAGTTCAACGACTAGTCATGGCTTTCCCAACCTCGGAGCATTCCAAATTTTCTACTGAAAAACAGGCAGAAAGGAGCTGGAAAAAGAGGGGAAAGTATTACCTGAAAGAGTAGAAATTGAAGACTCCAAATATATCTGCTTGGAACAATTGGTGGAGGGTGTGTCCTACGACGACTAAGGTCGTTGAAACGACAAAGTACTAGGTTTTTAATTACAAGTCTCATAAAAAATGGCGGTACTTTGCCACAAGATTCTCCTTCTCTTGTCTATTTCGTGACTGGCAACGAAACAAAACCGATCCAAGGACTTTCTGATTTACGCAAAAAGCTTACTACGACAGCTATGCATATCCATGAGATAGATGGTCTGCGAAGAATCTTTCTTGCCCAAGAGGTCTACTTTTTGGATTCTTAGATCAAAAAAGAATGTGCACATATCTTATTCCGTCTATCCTATTGAGAACCTCGCTTTCTTTGTATCTCTCGGCTTTTTCCGTCTTCTTCTCTTCCTCGCCTTACTTCCCTTCTCACGTCTGCAACTTCTAAAGCCTCTTATTTCTACAACTCTTTCTTACCCTGGCTTACCTTGCCCTTTCGCCAAAGCAAACCGTTATGCCCTTCACCACTCAGCGCCCGCAGTCCCCCAGATCCCCGAATTCCCCGAGACCAGCAGAAGCTGGGATGCCTCAACCGGGTCACCCCAGAGAGTCCCGTGCCTCGGCGTATACCTCCTGGAAGCAACATGAGTCAGTAGGTATAGATCTTTCACATGTGCCCAGAGCTGCGTCAACCCATGATATCTACGAGGCACTCAAAAAGGAGGGCAGCATCGTGAGAATTGATCTCTACGACACCTCCGATGGCCGCTCAACCACCCGAGGGTTTGTGCGCTTTAGGTTGGTATTCTTTCAATATGTCATTCCGCGTGGATCAAGTCTGACATGAGTTAGCCCCCCTCCTGAACTTGATTTCTGGTCCGATGGCTGCTACGAAGTGCCCCTCCGCAATGGCCCTGTGGTGCTAATCGGACTCGGCTTGAATCACTTCTCAGATGGCGAGACTATTCCCAGCCCAGTTCGCTCGCAGGTTCAGATTCCAGCCCAGAATGTAAGTGAGAAAATAAGACGGACAGCCGAAATGAACTAAGTGCTGACATTGATATTAGGAGCTTATGACTACCAAGGTTGACATTGGCGTGCTCGTTGACAAAACGACTGTTCATGCCATGCAAAGCTTTGACCAATCGTCGGGTGCCAGGTTTGTCGTTGACGTTCTGCGCAGATGCCTTTATGTCTACTTCAAAGTGGGCATCCGCTCAAAGGCCGGTGACATGTCTCTGCATGACTATCGAGTCAGGTTTACCTTCCTCCAAATGTCCCAAATCTTTGAGCAGTACGACGCGGCTACAGGGCAGACATCCTTTCTGATAATTCTGGACTCCTCTCCTATTTTTCACCGAAGGCTGAAAAACATTTCTTCTTCGTTTAACGTGCTGAGAAACTGGAGAGAGGAGGATGTCTGGTATCGTCAGACAGCTGTGCGTCGCAATCCACATGTCACCGAAACCTCCAGCAACAACCTGAAGAAGTCCGGACATATAATTGATACGGGTACGTGTAGATACATGCCTGATTGTTAACTTTTTATCACTTCTTTAACACTTCTCTTTGAATTAGGGCGATGGAACGTGTTCAAGATTACGTTTGCATCTGAACTCAAACAATACGGGGAAGCTCTAAAGCTCACTCGAGCCATGCTGAAAGACTACAACATCTCCATTGAAGATGGGAACCATTTTACCGAAAGAAAGATCCGGCCGCTACCAGTGTGGCACTGGATTGATCACGTTGGTCCTCAATCGAGCAAGGCGTCCTTGTTCCTGCTGGAGGACATGGGGAATGAGAACTATGTCCACCTTCACATCTACGTTCGGTACCAGCTTGAAGTCTGCATGTCTCATGGATACCTCTCCGAGTTTACAATGACTCGTGAGTTTATTGAGAAGTTGAGCAACATGAAAACAGACGAGGCTCAAAGACTGCTAGAGCACGTCGCTACAGAGAAGAAGAAATACTTTAATTCAATGGAAATATTTGGTCTGAAGGCCCCCAAAGGCACAGCCGATACCAAAATCCCGGATTATTGTTGCTTCATGCGCACCGCACGAGTCACTCCATCTACCATCTACTACAACACCCCATCCGTGGACGCCTCCAATCGCATCGTGCGCAAATACTCTGAGATGGCTGATCATTTCCTTCGTGTACGGTTCACGGACGAGAAGACGGAAGGTCGCATCAACTCTTCGATGAATGATAACAACGACGAAGTCTTCACCAATGTTAAGAGGACATTGTCAAATGGCATCACCATTGGAGACCGACACTATGAATTTCTAGCGTTTGGCAACTCTCAGTTCCGAGAACATGGCGCTTATTTCTTTGCCAAGGGAGGACCCATCACAGCGGCTTCAATCCGAGCCTGGATGGGCCAATTCAATCACATTCGAAATGTGGCCAAGTATGCGGCAAGACTGGGACAGTGTTTCTCGACTACCCGTGCCTTTTCTAGCACTAACGTTGAGGTTGTTCTGTGCGATGATATTGTTCGTAACGGTTACACATTCTCAGATGGCGTTGGAAAAATATCGAAATTCCTTGCGCAAATGGCCAAAACCGAACTAAATATCAAGACTCCAACTCGACACCTTCCATCAGCCTTCCAGTTTCGTCTCGGGGGCTCCAAGGGAATGCTTGTTCTTTCACCTGATCCTCGCCCTCGGGAAGTGCATATTCGCCCCAGTCAATACAAGTTCAACGCCGAGCACAGTGGATTGGAGATCATTCGCTGGTCCCAATTTTCCTTTGCAACCCTGAACCGCCAAATCATCATCGTCCTTTCTGCTCTGGGGATCCCAGACAGGGCCTTTTTGAGTAAGCTCGACTACATGTTGAGCAGTTTCAATGATGCCATGAAGGACGATCAGAAGGCAATCGACCTACTACAAAAGTGGATTGACCCAAACCAAATGACCCTCACGATTGCCCAGATGGTTGTAGATCGCTTCAGACAAGCTGACGAGCCATACGTGTGCACCCTTCTTGAGCTATGGCGAGCCTGGCATTTGAAATATCTCAAGGAAAAGGCAAAAATCACTGTTGAGAAAGGAGCTAACCTACTAGGCTGTCTGGATGAGACGGGTGTCCTCAAGGGCCATTTTGAAGACAAAATACCTGAGGACAACGCCCCACACGAAGAGAGACTGGCAGCTCTTCCTGAGATCTTTGTGCAGATCTGCCGCTGTGAAAAACAGGAAGCCTCGAAAGATGCTGAGTACGAAGTCATCGAGGGTGTCTGCATCTTGGCTCGCAATCCCTCTCTCCACCCTGGCGATATCCGTGTAGTCCGAGCAGTGAATCGACCTGAGCTGCAAGAATATCGTGACGTGGTCGTGCTTCCCCAAACTGGCGATCGAGATATTGCAAGCATGTGCTCAGGAGGTGACCTCGATGGCGACGACTACCTTGTCATTTGGGACCCAGATTTGATTCCAGCTCGATGGTTTACGCAGCCCATGAACTACACCAGTAGGAAAGCCCCAGACTTTCCTCACGACGTGACAGTTGATGCGGTCACTTCCTTCTTTGTCATTTACATGAAGAATGACTGCCTTCCAACAATTGCACATGCCCATTTAGCGTTGGCTGATTGGCTTCCAAAGGGCGTCATGGAGAATAAATGCCTTCGTCTGGCTCAGCTTCATTCAGATGCTGTTGACTTTAACAAGACGGGTGCTGTTGCAGTTATGACCAAGGATTTGAGGCCCAACAAGTGGCCACATTTTATGGAGAAGAGGCACGTTCCGCAGTCGCGAATTTACAAGTCTAAGAGAGTCCTGGGCCAGCTGTACGACGCAGTACATGTCCCTGCCTTTCTTCCCAATCTTGAGAAACCATTCGATGCTCGGATCCTGAATTCCCTGCTCCTTGAAGCGAGCGAGGAATACATGGTCTATGCCAAAGAGCTCAAAGAGGAGTATGACATGGCCATGCGACAGATCATGGCCCAATATGAGATTGAAACTGAATTCGAGATCGTCTCGGGCTTTACTCTCCGCCATTGCTTCCCGGGCAAGGACTACAAGATGCAAGAAGACATGGGTCGAATCTCATCTGTTCTCCGCGGGGGATTTCGCCATCAGTGCTACAACAAAGTCGGAAACCGTGACGGTAACATTGCTGCCTTGGTGCTCGCCATGTACCGTGTGACCCATCTGAATGCAGCATTCGAGGCTCAGCGACAGGAAGAAACTTTGAGAAAGGACCTCTCAAATCTCGACGTGCCATCAACCAAACTTCCACTCATCAGCTTCCCCTGGATTTTCCCTGAAGTTCTCGGCAAGATTGCAACGGGCAAAGTCAGGGAGCGAGCAGGGCCAGAAGAAGGCGCTGCTGGTGGCCTTCCAGTCAACTTTGGAGGCAATCTAATGTTCACATACAAGGAAGCCCAAAATGCCTCCGAAGCCATGAATGACCAGAGCGGTCCAGAAATGATGGAGCCTGTTAACAATGCTTCAGATGCTCAACTCCCAAGTCCAACGGGCTCCTGGGAGCCATTGGTGGAGTTTCCTGGCGAAGGAATGGCCAGCTTTGAGGATTCCAATTCAGAGCCATCTTTCGATGAGGCTACGATGGCCGATCTTAGGCAGTTTCGGCTTGCGAATGGGAATGGGAACCACGTTCGTGAAAGCCCGCGATCATTGTGCTCAATAGGCTCTTGGTGTGAATTGGTTGAGCGCCGAGACGAGCTCTCGATGAAGGATGAAGAACGTGAGGATGGGGCTTGCATAAAGGAACCCGTCGAGATTGATATGATTGAAGATGCTGAGATGAAGGGTAGCTTCAAGCCTAATCCGCTTGATGAGCTACTCAGCATGCTTGGCTAAATGGTTGAATGTCAAGGTCGAGGGGAACAGAGTAGGTTGCATGGGGGTTTAGGTGGAGGAGATCACGAATTCAAGAGGAATACTTGATATTAGGTAGAACACAGAGACCATAATTCTCTTCTCTTCAACTTGCTTCGGAGTAGATAACCTAACTCACTTATCTCAAACCATACGCTGGCAGGCATGTCTCTGCTGTGCAAGGGTATATCCAACTCCGTTAGACAAAACCAACTCCATAAATCCCCAAGTATCAGCCATTACCAAAAGCCCAACCCTACCAATCCAACCCCTCATCCCCCTTCCGCTCCAACAACTCAACAATAGGCTCCAAAATAGCCTTAGAATGCCTCAAATTAGCAGCATCTCTCGTCCGAGGATAAAAAACCGGACAATCCATACTATCACAGCTAACCTCATCAGCAGGGGTAACAACCATACAAGAACGACAAACAGCCTCCAAATCAACAACCCGCTTCTCGGCCCTCTGCAACCGCGAAACAACATCCAAAAGCGCAAGATGCGGCTGTTTCAGACAATCCTCGCAGACGGGAACGGTAGTATCAGACAACCGAGCTCGGCAGATGACACACGACGACGACCGCATATAAGATTCAAGCGTCTTCCGCATTGATGCTCCAAAAATGGCAGTGTTCGGGTTTGGGTTTGGTCGTGAAAGCGCTGAAGCATCGACTCGCCGGATTCGCTGTACTTTTGGCATCTCGTCGTACCATTGGCGGACATTCGCGCCCACGAGATTGAAGATTCGCTCTAGTGGCGGGATCAGGTTCTTAGTGATGTAATACTCCGCATCCAGCTCCAGCTGCGCATCATGCAAGAGAGTCTGAGGCGCGACGCAGCGGTCGATGAGTCTTGATCCCGGTGCACCGGTGACAACGACGTAGGGGACTCGCTCGCCGGTCTGTGGCTCCGAGCGCGGATCTTCTAGCATACGCTTTGTGCTGAGCATTGCGCCGGCGGGGAGTTGGCCCCGGTCACTATATGTGCCTAGGCGGACCTCTTTTGCAAAGCAGAAGTCTTGGATAGAGACGCGGCCTTGCATTATTTTGGCGCATTGGCGCTGGAAGTAGGATTTGACTTGGCTGAGATCTGCTGTGCGGAAGAGGGTTTTCAGGGCTTTTTCTTCGATCTTTTGTTCGGCGGGTGTGCCGTCGCGTCGGACTGTTTCGATGCCTTTGGCGTCAAATTCGGGTTCGGTTTGTGTGCGGTGTTCGTACTTGAAGCCCACGTAGCGCTTCTTGGCTAGGAGTACGCATGGGTGGTAGACCTTTTCGAATTTGAGTTTCACTGGTCTGGGGTTCATGTCAGTTACTGCTTGGGCGATTTCTTCACCGATATCGAAGGCTTGGTCTCGGGTGCGGCCTTTGAGGTAGATGAATAGACTGTCTGTGTCACCGTAGACTACCTCGGCGCCCCAGCGTTCGATTGAGTGAATGAATGCAATGGCCTTTTCCAGTGTTTCTCGCCCGGTTTGGACGATGCTGTCTGCAATTTCTGAACAGGGCATTCGTCCAGAGAATGAAGCAGATGTATAGCCATACGTAACGTTGGCAATGAGCTTGAGGGCCAATTGTCTGTTGTTCAAAAGTCGTTGCAACACCTTGTCATCCTTGTCGGCCTTCATGCCACTCTTGACCATCACTCGAGTCTCGAGGATCTCTGAGAGCATCTTGGCTAATAATGACTGGCGCGCTTCGTGCTTCGCATACATCATGCCATTTGGTGCGATATTGATCTTGTCTTTGAGCAACTCCAAAAGCCGAGGCTGTCGCTGGTAATCCAAGACGCCCATCTTGTCCCTTCCACGCCAATGCGCTGCTCTGCCAAGGAACGTCGAATAGCAGTAATTATATGCGATCATGACGCTCGGGTAGAGTGACTGGAAATCAAGCACCAGCAGTGGGCTGGTATAGAAACCACTTTGTGGTTCCATGACCAATGGCAAGCATTCCAACGCATTCTGCTGCCCGACTTGCTTTTTACTCGGTGAAACAAGCAGAAAGTTCTCTGGTTTCGCGATTCGGAACATCAAAGACTCAACTTTGAATTGAGAGCCTCGAGAAATCACTGAAGCAAAATCGATACCTAGCAATCTCGCTTGCTCACTCGTTCGTGGTGTCAACTCGTTGCCCTCGAGGATTTCCAGGTTCAGCTGCACTCGTGAGATAAAGTAATCCATGACTTTGAGTAGATTGCGAGGCTTCCCGCTCTGGTACCACTGCGTCAGGTTTTGAGGAGAATAGTGGGGAATGCGGCGATGCAAAAGATGGAAGACGACATTCTCCATTGTATACTGAAGCAGATTCAGCTCGCCTTTCATAGCGCGCCAAATGTTGAAAATATGCCGGCCAGTGATGGTAATGGAAGATGAATGGTCGAATCCCCATTTATTTGCCTCCTTCCCAAATCTTCCATGGGATTGAGACTTCGTCCTGGACAGCTCTTCGCAAATATCGAAGTCGTACTTTTTGCGGGCCCGTTCGATTATATACCCCCAGGAGGCATTGTGAACTTCGTAACCCGTGATGATGTCCGGATCATGGTACCGAACAATGTCTACCAGTCGGTTTATCAGATCAAGTTCGGTGGTTTCGTGCTCGACATCAATTCTCAGCACCTTTGATACTTTGTCTTCCGGTCTTTCTCCCTCGCCATGATAAACCATCCCAACATGAACGCCGGGAAGATGGCTATTGATCTCGAGCTCTTCATCTTCAGATTGAATGCACCAGAACATGCACGTAATCTCATCTTCCTCTGGATTGGCCAAGAGCGCTCCGCGCGTATTCACATGCACTTCTAGGCTCATTGTGCTCATGTATTGAGTCTGGTGTTCCACGCTGGTGGACTTTCCTTTCTGGGAGTATTTGAAGCCATACGGGTTCTTTTGCGTGGGGCCTTCTATCTGGGAGAGAAGGTCTGATTTTTCTTCAACTGGCTTGGGTTGAATTGGCTCTCCTGGTTTGGATGCTTGAGAGGCTTCCATTTCCTCGAACCACCTGATGACTTCTGACCGGCTAGGTGGAAGAGGAGCAAACTCCCAGACTCTGGCATTGCACTCTTCTCGGAGTTGCTGATCAGTTCTAGCTTGCTGATCCCGGTCATGAGTTATTGGTAGCTGTTCACCGAACATTGCAGGAGCGTTTCCTGTGGGTTCAAATTCCGGCAGGTAGTGGATGGTGTTGCTCTCCAGCCGGAACTCTCTGCCGCCGTATTCTCTTGGTCGTTCAGGAACATCCGCCTCCTCGCTGTAATACGCTTTCTGGTATACAACGGAGGGACGCCCGTGATCGTTTATTGTTGAAGCAACCTCTTTCGAAGTCGGGCTTGCAAATCTGAAACAACTCAAGGGTGCGTTTGGAGAAAGGTTAAATGAGTTATGAATGTTTCTCATAGTCTCAGCAAGATGTGGATCGAGTGAGATTGGGCCCATTACTGTTGAAGAGGAATGTAACTCCGAAGAACTCGCGATTCCACTGGCTTTGCTTGAGATTTCAGTGGCAGATCCGGAAGGAAACGAGCTCGGCAATTGTTGGGAGGATTGGGAGCCTTTCTGGGAACAATGGCCATCGTCCTGGCTGAACCGCATAACGGTCAAAGGATCATTTGGGTCTTTAACAACCGGGTATTTCAGCCGGCTATTATGACTATACGATTTTGGGCGGACCGTTCTTTGCGAGGAAGATGACTTGGGTTCCGATGGAGTTTCCGTATGCGCATTAGGCTTGCTCTCGAATGAAACACTTCGCTGCTTCTCATCCCCATCTTGCTTTGGCTCGCGGCCATCGGGCGATCCGCCATTGAGAAGAGGCTTGGGCCTTTTAGTCGGCGGCTTGTCGGAATCGGAGATCTCGAAGCGTTGCCTTTTGGATGCGACGGTTCCGCCTTGACTATGGTTTCTTGGTCTCGTTTCGAGAGGTTGGTCTGCCTCCGTCGAAACCCCGTCCTTGAGCTTGTCATTCAATGCTGTTTTCGAGCCATCTGGTTGAGCGGACTCTGTGGGTGCCATAACATCTGAAAGGGGAAATTCATCGAAAACTCCATCGTAGAAGCTATCGCCCAAAGGCCCCTCGTTTAGGTCAGGCTCATGTTCTGTATCTTCGCCCGAAGACTCGCCCTCAATATCATTACTTGAACGATACTGCCCATCGGCTTGAGAGGACAAAGCGAGACTCTCATCAACCGAGATCTCTGGTGCAATCTGTCCAGCTGGTCCCTGGTAGTGACTTTTATCAAAATTAGACGCCCCGAATTTTTTAGGGTAAAAGTCTTCGACACTGTCCAAAGCTGTCTTAATGTTTTTCGCCTGTTCATCAATATCCAAAAATGTTTCAAATGAAGTCTCTTTATTGCCGGCTTCGCGTTTCTCGTTGGCAGCAAGTTGCGAGGCCATCTCCCGGAACTCTTCCTCGTGGATCCAGCCACCCCTTGATTGATTTCTTGGGTCTGCCGACATGGAAATCAATTCTTCAGGTCCAAACGGAGTACTTCCGGGGTCAGTTATGCCCATCTTCTTCTTGCGTCTGCGAGTTTCATCCTGCCATAGTCCAGCCATGCTCGGAACAAGTCGCTCATTGAATGCAACCGGTTTCAAAAGCTCGGTGAAGTCGTGATGTAGCGGTCGTTCTTTGACATCCAATCTATTCAGGATGTCTTGTACACAGATATCGACCTCGAGTGCACAATTGCTCTGTTTTTGAAGCGCAGGGTCCTGAAGGATACTTTCGGGTCGAATTGACCGGTCGTGCCAGCGATGGTCGAGGTTGCTGAGTTCGAGATACTCAGGTATCGGTGATCGGAACTTGACGGTGCTGCAATTCATGATTGCGCATCCGTACAAGTTGTAATCGCACATCCATTGCGGAATGTATTGCATGTGCGCCTCGTACGGTTGGAGGGGTCGTTTCATCACAGCTCCCTGGTGCAGAAGGTCCCTAAGGCGATTCATATGCAAAGGATTCAGAAGGTAGATCTTGAAGAAGAACCGCCATCCCACGTGATACCCATAGAATGGGACACCCTTCACCAGGGTGATATGAGCCACAAAAGCGGTCATCCTGTCGTATGCATTCCGACGGAAGCTGATAGCCAGAGCATGGTCGATCGAAAGATGAAGACTTCGGATTGCGGAGTTCACTACAACCTTTGTGAGTTAAGCGATCAAAGCAGGTGTGGCTATACAGTACGAACCTTCTTCTGGCGTCAACGGCCCATTGTATTCAATATAGAGGTATGGAAATGCGCCGTGGACATGAACGCAGACTCGCTGCCCGGTCTCGGTGGCGCCAAATACTCGAATCACGGGCACTTTAGGCTTAAAGTTTTTCTCAGTCTCGCCATCGCGAAAAGGCAGCGGAGGATCTAATTCCGACGCGGTCGCTTGATAATGATCGATACAGTTGAGGCGCACCTGAAACGGCTCCATCGCTGTGGTGTGTGGCGATCAAAAGCCACAGCGACATTTCGTATGGTGCCTGCGTGTTATTGCATGAAGGATATTGGGTATTTGGCTGAGAAACGCGACAACCTGAGGTATGTCGAACCAAATCTAGAACGCGAGATACGCCTGATCACGTGCGCTATCAATTCTCCAGCCGCCAAGTTTCGTATCACAACCTCACTTTCGCATTATTCTGGCGACAGCTGCAGGTGGCTGGTCTATTTGTACTCCGCTTTTTCTCACTTTCACATTCAAGCCTATCTTCCTTCGAACTCCCAACACCATGTCGCGAAAGCCCGCGGATGTGGCGTCGAAAGAGCGGAACGAATACATTCCCTCTTTCATCTCGAAGAAGCCATTTTATGTCGACGATGAAACAGACAACGACTACCTCGAGCATCAACGTCTCCAAAAGACAAGTGCCGATCAATCTAAATGGTATGACCGAGGCAAGCGTGCAGGCCCGGCGGCCACGAAATACCGCAAAGGCGCATGTGAAAACTGCGGCGCGATGACACACAAGACCAAAGAGTGCCTCAGTCGACCCCGAAAGCATGGCGCTAAATGGACCGGCAAGGATATACAGGCCGATGAGCTTATTCAGAAGGTCGACATGGGATGGGACGCAAAAAGAGACCGTTGGAATGGCTATGATGCCAGCGAGTATCGCCAAGTTGTCGAAGAATACGAAGAGATGGAGGCACTGAAACGAATGGCAAAGGACAACCAGGCTCTCAAGAAGCTCCAGAATGGCGAAGATGGCGATAACGACCCCGAAGAAGATATCCGGTACGCCGAAGAGTCCGACATGGGCCGACAGCAGAGCACCGCAACCCGCAACCTACGTATCCGAGAAGACACCGCGAAATACCTGCTTAATTTGGATCTCGATTCCGCCAAATACGACCCCAAGACACGTCGAATGGTAGACATGGGCGCGCAGGATGACCAGGCATCGGCACTTGTCGCCGAGGAAAACTTCATCCGAGCTTCAGGCGATGCTGCGGAGTTCGAGAAAGCCCAGCAGTATGCCTGGGAATCCCAGGAGAAGGGTCACCCACAACTTCACATCCAGGCCAATCCAACCTCCGGAGAAGTACTCAGAAAGAAAGAGAAGGAGGATAGTGAGGCGAAACGTGAAGCCCATCGCAAAGCTCTGCTGGATAAATACGGCGGTGGAGAGCACTCGCAGCCGAGTGCACTGCGCGATACTATGGTTGTTGAAAACGAGCGCTTCGTTGAATATGACGAGAGCGGTGCCATCAAGGGCGCACCCAAGAAAGCGACCAAATCCAAGTATCCTGAGGACATCATGGTCAACAACCATGCTTCGGTCTTCGGTAGCTGGTGGTACCGGTTCCAATGGGGATACGCCTGCTGCTATTCCACTGTCAAGAACAGTTACTGCACCGGTGAGGACGGAAAGAAGGCTTTCGAGGAAGAGGGCAACATGCTACGGATGCTCGAGGCAAATGTCGAAAATGAGAAGCATGCTGATGATGCGGGTCTTCCCCAAGAGTCTAGCCAAAGGAACCCGGATGAGGAGAAGGAACCAAAAGCCAATGCAAAAAAGCGGACTTTGGAGGAGCTCCAGTCAGGGATCACAGAGGAGGAGCTTGAGTCTTACAAGCGAAGTCGGCAGGCTGCTGACGACCCGATGGCCAAGTTCATCGGGAAAGATGATTTCTGATGTCTTCATTCTTCATACATTTGCATAGGCGTTCGGATGTACTAAAATACCCTCTTATATGCTGTTAAAACTGTAAACAAATTCATCATGTTATTCTATAATTTATCGTTGTCAAGTAGAAAATTGTGATTTCGAACAATATAACGAACATCCGAGCAAACCCTCTTATACAAGCCTGGAAAGAATGATAGTGATCACGTGACTATGGTCATGCACGGGCCATGAAATGAGATTTCTACTTTGGGTTAGTTTGCTTGCAGGTCACGGGACAGGGTACAAGCCCTATGGACCGCACTCGCTTAGCAACACATCACCAGATCTCGGGAAGTTCTGATACGCCTAGCGACGACGACACCGACAACCAGCCCCTTCAACGGAATCGCCAGGTACGTTTGCATGCCGTTCCTTTCCTCTGCGTCCACTGTACCCGTCAGTTTACTAACGTCGTGTCTCTTCCACAGTTCCATAATTCAAAATGAGTACGTCCCATGTCGAAATATCGCACCGCGATCCTCCGCAACCTCGAATCAGTTGAAACTAACAACCACTGCAGCGAAGGGTACCTCGAGCTTCGGAAAGCGCCACAACAAGACGCACACTCTCTGCCGTCGTTGTGGTGAGTATTACACCAATTTTTCACGATCCCTCCCATCCAACCGGAAGTCGCAAATTTCTTTATCGAAATACAGAATTGGCGATCACGGCGAAGACATCCACCCAAGAGGCATAAGACAGAGGGCTAACCGGTGATATTTCTTCGACTACAGGCAAGCGGTCTTTCCACATCCAGAAGTCAACCTGTGCCAACTGTGGCTACCCTGCCGCCAAGACCCGCAAGTGTACGCAGATACCCCTCCCGAAGATGCTGGTGATATGAAATGGCCATCATGTGGACTATGGATATCGAAATAAGAGAACGCTGGCTTACATGGATTTTCGATCAACAGTCAACTGGGGTGAGAAGGCTAAGCGCCGCAAGACCACCGGCTCCGGCCGCATGCGCTCCCTCCGCGATGTCCACCGCCGCTTCCTGAACGGCTTCCAGACTGGTACTCCCAAGGGTGCCCGTGGCCCCGAGACCAACTAGATTCCCTTTTTCGTCCGCTCGGCGTCGCGTTTTCGTTTTCGGAGAGGCTGGAATAGGAATGAGGGGAGGAATCCTGGCATGACATGAATTAGCATTACGGGCTAGCATTACTCGAAATGCAAATGGCAGTTCCGGAATCTTAACGCTTTCCCCTGGAGTTGGTGTGTGCAACTGTCGATCTCGTCTGTTTCTCTTTGCCACGCAAAGGAGGACAAAGTAAAACTTGCGAGACGGTGGGAAAAGTTTCGTTGGAGGGCTCTTCTCTACGGAGAGGAGCTGGATTAAAAAAAAACATGGGAAAGCGTGCATGAATTTCCTTTTTCTTCCTTATGACTGGCGATTATTCCCGTCGTGACAGATACAATGTGAAGACTCTTCCTAACGTTTCATGATCTGTTCTATCAGTATGAGGTGTTGACTACGAAGAGAGCTTGTTGACGTTCAATGGCTTTTTCGTACTTTTGAAAGTCTACCTAACCCAATAGTATACAGCCTCGGATCATGATTCCCCACGACCAAACACGCTGACGCTGCCATCCCGTTGAATGAAGTAGAGGACTTCCTTCTCCTCCAAACTATCTTCTTCACCGGCGCTCCATCCGCCGCCTCGACTGATCCTGAGCACCCCACTCACATCTTTCGCGGCCCCTGTCTCCAGAGTGCGGAGTTGCATTACCGACCTAGCCCGATGCGCCAGCCCAATAGCGAACGCCGCATGTTCCATCTCAATTGGCGTAGCCAACTGCCCTGCTGATACAGATGCATTGTGTATCAGCGGAGCATCCGTAGCCAGTGTTAGAACTGTAGCGTATGCATGCTGTCGAGTATCAGTTATGTAACTTGTAACACTTGGCTGTCTGGCAATGCCTCGACGGATATGTGATCTTACCTGCTGTAGCACTGTGACCCACTCTGCCATCTCTGTTGCTCCAATACCCATACTTGGTCCCGTTGCAGCAAGCAATAGGTCAGGCTGGTCTAGAATGAGAACTAGCTCATCACCATCCTCCATTGACGACTTTTGCTGTTCAATAACTGCAATGATATCTTTCTCCATCAGGTCGAGGGCTGCGAGGCCACGACCAGTAAAATGCAGTTTTTTGGCGATGCCCGGCTCTGCCTGGGCTCGCGTCACATTTGCATTCCCTTTTGGTGGCGCCGCTGTTGGTGGTAGTGTCTTTCCGGGCACGGCACCGGGTGGAGAGCGAAGTGGAAGAACTGTGCGTGGACTGCTCCCAAGACCAGCCGGGGAGGTATTAGATGTGGCTGCGTCTGGTGCGTAGAATAGCTCAGATAAACCATCTATGAATGCAAATTGTTGCTTGTCTACCAGACGTGCAAGATCAAGGCCCTGTTGAGTTCATTAGTATAGGCATCGCCGGTATATTGATCGATGTATTGGTGATAGATCAAGAAAGCCGAATCAGTGTTCAATAACATATCATTTCGAGTGCTATTGACTTGCAGAACTTCACAGAACTTACCAATCGCTTTGCCTCTGTCTTCCAGAAATCATAACTCCGCAAAAAGCTCACTAGCACCACTTTCTTCTTGATCCCAGTTTGCAGCTCATCCGCGCCGAATGCCGCATTGGGGCTTGGCGAGCTTAGCGCGGCATGCAGGAATCTCAGCACCAGCCAATTTGAGGTTGCACCGAGGATAGAAGAGGCTAGTGTCAAGGATGATTCGGGCAATGTTGATACATATGGTGCAAGGAGGGGCGGTAGTGGGGGTTGAGAAGGCATGTCTGCGCCTTAATGCAATGTTGCTGCTGCTTTTTTGTGGTTTCGTGGCTTGGCAATGACAAGCTTCAAATATGATTATCCACCGGTTCCAGACTATCAAGTTCTTGTTTGGCTGTGCTGGTCGAGTCGTGGAGGTGATGAGAAAAAATGTCTGCGGCTTGTGATTGGCCCCTCATCTATCCCGCCATGCCAAGACTTATATCGAGATGATATTGAGTAGAATCAATCGGATTTTGCTAGTTTCTTTCTGAGATTATGTTGAATTTGGATGGGAAAGAATGAGTCACTCTATTGTAGCTGTCTAGCGCGCATAAGCTTGAAATCTCCGTGTTGAAATGGTGTGCAAGAGGTCATTTCTCTGCAAAATATATACTTCGTCTCTGTTATACTTAACTCCAATCATCTTTGCAACGCCCCACCAAAGGCATATTCAAGGTTTTCGTCGGGCTCTGAAGCAAGATTT